AGGCACAGAGAGGAAATGAGTCTTAATCAAGGTCACACAGTTGCCAGGATCCCAGATTCAAAAGTAGAGAATTTCCTAAAAGCTGGTATTCACCAGACCTTTATCAGGGATATCAGCCAGGAGAGGGTCATGTGGTTCCAAGTGACTGAAACTCACTCATCTCCTGGTGGCCTGAGGCTTCTCACTAGCTAATGCGACCAAGCTTAGATGACTGACTGGGGCTCCAATGCACCTGTCACATGTCTTCACACTCTGGTTTCATGTTCTGAGATTGTCTGAATCTCAACTGGAGATTCTTGGGCAGAGGACTTTTAGCATCCTCTGGCTTATTTCTTGTAGATTATCACCTCAGTGCAAAGAGAACATGCACATTTCCCCCAAAGGGACCAGCAAAACCTCCAGGGTAGAGGCTCAGGGACTCAGTGTGGATCATGTGCTGACCTCACAGCCACTTCTTGATTCTGATTATCCAGGCCAGTGTGTGTGTGTGTGTGTGTGTGTGTGTGTGTGTGTGTACACACATGCAAATGTGCATGCATGTGGCATGTGTAAGCTTTATAGAGAAAGGGAATTTGATTCCCCCTGAGGAAAATCAAGCACTAGAGCAGCATGATTCCAAGCTGCTTCGAAACCGCACTGGAGTGGCTGTCTCACCCATGGAATCCGTCGGCTTTCCAGATGAGGGCAAGCCTGGGGTCACCACAGCCAGGTGGCCCTCAAGCCTCAGAGCTGGAGGGTGCGCTGGGCTGAGAACAGTGCCTGTGGTGAGGATTCCTGTGTCTGGAGAGCTCCAGGAGAAGGAAAGGGGAAGAGAGGGCTAGAGAGAGGTGGGAGAGGGAGAGAAGAACCAGTGGTGGCTGTTGGTCCCTGCTCAGCTTCCTTTTGATCAGCAGGTCTATGGCTCCCTCCACTGCTATGAGTGTGGGCACCTAATGCCTCCCTGGTTTCTGGAAAACTGCCCTGGGTTGGCATATTATACGTCCCTGGGGGCTGACCATAGCCAGGGTCTAACTGGTATAGAAATATAAGCCCAGGACCTCGCCTCAAAGTGAAACAACTGGGCGGTGCTGCTTATCTCCTGGAGTACCTGGTATGATTTAGGTGGAGACCAGAATCCCGCTGACCCCACAGCTTTGCCTGGCATCTCCCTCTGCTCCTCCCTGCTTCTTTTTAAAAGAGTGCCCTTGACCAACCCTCAGCCAAGCTCCTCTGAGCCCTCTTTTCTGCCAGCTTCATGTTTGGGCCCTGTCTTGGCTTTGCCTCCTCCAGTTGTAGTAAGAATCCTGCTAAGTCAGCTTAGTAAGAATTTAATAAGAATCCCCCCACCCTTGCTATCTGGTCACCTGGCCTGCCTTCAGCAAGAATCTTGTTGAGTCAGATTAGCAAGAATCCTGCAATTCCTGGACCTATTCTTGATAATTTTCCACCCTGGGTGGATCGTGACTCTGTTTGTTGTCTATAAAGTCCTCATGCCCTTGTATTCAGAGCCTCAGTGCAGACTTAGTGCAGGCTTAGTGCAGACTTAGTCAGACCTCAATCCATGCAGAGTTCTGAAGCATAAATTACCCCTTAGAGTTTGTCTTACTTCTAGGTAAAGGACACATACACCAGTCACCAACTATAGGTTGTTGGAGTAGGGGGCGCATCACCTCCCAGGTGCCCCTGACTGGCTGGCTGGCTCAGAACCCGAGGTGCCTATGGGTCATTACAGGTGGGAAACTTTAGCAGCAAAGTCCAGGAAAGAGGACTCAGCAGACTGAGCCAGCAAAAGGGGATTCAAGGGATGGATGTGTTACCAACTCTGGTTACCACGTGGGGCAAAGAAATCAGGCTTCAGATAACTTTGACAGATAAAATTCTAAATTGGTACCAATGCAGTTATTGGCAGCCACAGAGAGTTCTAATGAGCTGACAACAGGTTGCTGTTTATCAATTTGTTGCTACTTATGTAACAAGAAGTACAGAATACAGTACTTACGAATCCTTGTAATGAATATTTTCACTTTATTGAGACAGTGTTTATATAGATGCACATTAGTTTAAACTTTTTGACCTCATTTGCATTCTAAAATTACAGCACCATAATTTCCTTTTCCCAAATGCATTCACTCTTAATTAATCTTAACCACTCTCAAGATTTTCTGATTTCTATTATCACTATTTAAAGTTGAGAAGACTTTTAATGGATCTAAATCACATATTCAAATTAGTTTCTTTTTCTAAAGTTATAATGACTTGAAATTTTATTTGATTTGGGCCCAAAGAATTACCTGAAAAGTAATTTGATTGTTTTACAATTTAAATCATCTGTGTGGAATAAAATTCATTAACCTTATTTACATGTGTGTAAAAATTATGACACTCTAACCAATTAACATTTTTAAGAAGTGTGGAGTATTTCACAGCATAAAGTTTTTACTTCAGCTCTGTCATCTCCATCTTTGAACCTACTTGCTGCCAGAAATCAGGGGGAGGTGTTGATTTCCAACTTTGGTTAAAAGTTGAGTAATTTAGTTTGTGCCCAGACAATGTTATATATGGAAACTGTGAATTCTCTTCCAGGGCCTGAGAAAGCAGCAGCCCAAGAGGCTAATCTCCATAAGACTTGGGGAGAGCGGACCCCTACTGGATCTGGCCAGGAGGCTATGGCTTAGAATGTTAAGCTTTGGGGATAGACTCTCTCTTTCAGAGTTCCACTCTGGAAAGGCACAAACACGGGATTCTCTGGGCAATTCTTCCCAGGCCCTGTGCTGGAGAGCTTTGTTAACAGGCCTCTGGGAACAGACACAGCAATTCATAGAGCGGGCAGCATGTGGGCCCATGAGACTGAGGGCAGGGCATCGACAGTCCAGGCTTGGGTTTGAGTCCAGGCTTTGTCTGTTGCTATCCAAGTGATACTGTACTTTAAATCCCCATCATCTGGACTACTGACATGACCCTCGCTGGTCCTCTAGCCCATTCTGTGTACATTGCCATGTTATCTTCACTTTAGAACCAGGATGATTATTTTGAAGCAGGGGGCTCCTCACGGCTTCCCCATCATTACCTCTGTAGACAGAACTCTTTCCTTGACCAACAAGGTCTGCTCCCCCAGCCATATTGTCCTACATCGACCTTTGCACTGATCATTCCTTCATGGGCTTCCAAGTCTTCTCACACACTGTTTCTCTTACTGGAACCCAGCCATCTCAGCGATGGGAGCTGGCAGGAGCAGTGGTGTTTCAACCTGCTGCTTCACCACAAGTTGGTTATGGCAGTTGCTCCTCAGAGCTCAGTAACTGCCTTTTTGTCAGTTGTGGCTGTTGCTCCTCAGAGCCCAGTAACTGCCTTTTTGTCAGTTGTGGCTGTTGCTCCTCAGAGCTCAGTAACTGCCTTTTTGTCAGTTGTGGACGGTGCTCCTCAGAGCCCTTTTATGTAACAGTGTACTTCCTGGATTGTGGAATGGACCAATCAGTTGTGAGCTGTGAACTAATTGGTGCTAGATTGTCCAATCAGACTTTTGTTACCAGGACCCAGCCTCTCACCACATGTCAGTTGCTCCTCAGAAAACTTTCATGTAACGTGTACTTCCTAGATTGTGGAATGGACCAATCAAGTGCTATGGGCTGATTGCTAAATGGTCCAATGTCCAATTAGCCACAGGTTTGAAAAACAGTCCAGTCAGACTTGTGGGCGTGGCACTCTGAAAAAGGATATAAGCCAGGGTTGAAAGGAGCTGGAAAAAGATGAGAGATGACTCCGGCAGAGGAAAAAGATGCCAACCCCCGGAGGAGGAGAAGATGACGCCAGCCCCTGAAGAAAGGAAGACGGCTCCAACCTTCGAAGAAAGAAGAAAAGAAGCATCCAGCAGCCGCCCTCCAAGGAGGGAAGAGAAGCTGAAGGACTCTGTCGCAGACTGGGCCTCAGTCTCTGAGATTTCCTGAAAGGATCACCAAAGGCCCTTGGGCCTGGCGTCTCAAATAGCCATTTGTTGTTGGTATAACCAGACAACGCACAAAGAGCTGGTAACACTGGGTGTCCCTGACACCACCTCTGCGAGACCAGTAGTGACCATCACTACTGGCCAGTGCTGTCCAGCACTCCTGGTGACTGGTGGTGACCATCACTGATGCTACCTGGGTGAGCTAGCTGCTACTTGTGGGTGCAGTGAGCTCTTTGTTGCCCCTGTTTGTAAAATAAACCCGATGGTTGTTGTTCCTGGAGCCTGAGGTCTTGCAATTGTGCGTGGGTGAGAACCCACAGACTGTGACCTGTCTTCTTATCGGGCACTGTCTTTTGTGAGGCTCTAGCTCTTGGTTTTGGTTTTTGGCCTTTTGGGGCTTTTTGGTGGCTCTCTGGTCTCAGAGACCCTGTTACCTCTTTTGTGGCCCTCTCCGCCCCTGTTTCATTTCTTCTTTGGGGGCTGGCATCATCACCCTTTCTTCTCTTTGGGGGAGTGCACCTCTTTTTATTTTGGGGGGCCCAGTCCTCCTCTCTCAGGGTTGGGGTCATCATCTTCTTTTCTTCAGGGGCTCCCCCCAATTCCCTCCAACCCTGGCTTATATCCTCTTTCACCCACAAGTCCGATTGGACCATTTAGCACCAATCAACTCACAGCTCACACTTGATTGGTCCATTACAAAATGGCAGTTACTGAGCTCTGAGGAGCAACTGCCACAACGGACTTGTGGTGGAGCGGGGTGGGGGTGGGGGTGGGGGACACCAGTGTTCCTGCCGGCTCCCACCACTGAGGCAGCTGGGTTCGGTAACACATCTCTCCCTTCTTTGCCAAGTCATCTCTTACACATCATTTTGGTCTCAACTTGAGGGTCACTTTCAAACTAATTTCAACCTGATTCCTTTGCCCCATGAGGTAACCAGGCTTGATTGGGTCAAACCCCTGGTGCAGGCTCACCCGGAGCTCCTGCTGGGAAAGTTACATGGTCCATTCTCTCCTGGTCCGCACCCATTAGCTATTATTACATCATCTATCCCATAATCAAAGGCTCTGTGAAGTCAGGAGCCCCTTGGTTTGTTGTTTACTCTCCTCTGCTACCACACAGCTCTGTGTCTGCTTCTGAAAATACATGAATTACCTAAGCAGGACTTCAAGTTCCCTTAAAGACAAGAAGTCATTCTTACAACATTCCTAGGAGGTCAGCAGTAAACAAAAAGATACAAGTAAGGCATTTAGCCCTGTGCCCCTTGCTATTTTCATCCTTCCTGGGGAGTATTTAGGCTTCTGAGTTGGGAGCTGGCAGAGGTGGGGGCAGGGCATGGTTCTGGGTCACAGAAGTAGGAGAGTAGAGAACCACAGCACAGCAGCCTGACTCATCACTCTGGCTTGATCGTTTTTATTTCTAATCTTCTGGGCAGTGAACGCAGCAAGAAGTGAAGAGAAGGCAAACATTGCATTGCTCTTCAAAGCTTTCTCTTGAGTTTCGGTTTCTTCTTGAGGTCAGAATTACCCATTTGAGATGCGAAAGCTGGATAAAATTCTCCCAACCAATAGGATTTACCCCTTAAGACCCAGCCTTTCCTGGCATCTGGACAGAGTTTAGGATCTGGTTTGTCAGTGAGCTGGGTCAGTGGAGCCATTAGGCAGGTTCTTCACTGACAGGGATTTCTGTCACTACTTCCTTGCCTTCTGAATTTGACTGATGTGCACTTTGGCGGTGAAGGCTATGGGACACTGACAGTGAGTCCTTGGAGAAATCCCCACAGTCTCCGGGACATAACTTTCCGTCTACCAACCACAAGAGTGGTGCTTGACAAGAAGCTCATGAGCATATTTAAGGGAGTTCATGAGCATATTTTGGGGTAAATTCCTGAAGGTCAAAGGACTCTGAGGATTATTACTCATTCTGGAGACTTCATAGACTCTGTTGGTTGCACTTTCCTTCAAAGGGGAAACGGCAGCTGGTGGCCCCGTTTCTACAGAGAACCTGGACTTGGTTGGGTTATGCTGATGGCCATTTCCATGTTTTTGGCCTATCAATCTCCTTTTCCTGGCCTTGGGTTGTCTTTTTTCAGAATGAACAAGCTCATGTTGTGCTAGGTGTCTTCTCAGATCCTCTAGTCTATGCTCACTCTCCACTGTACTCCGATTTTGTCATTTCCACAGTATTTCAGAAAGTTCTGGGCCTTTGAAAGTTCCCCCAACCCACTGCTAGACCGTGTGGGTAAAGCTGGGGTGCCTTGGCTGGCCTCACAGCCTTGAGACCTGATGGCTTTATCTGAGAACTTATAGACTCTGTTCTTTTTTGCCAGTGGACCCAAAGCAACTCACTTCCCATAAGGTCGCCTAAGGTCCTCTCCCTGTTCACTGTGATGGCTCAGAGCACAGGAGAGCCCACTATGTTCCACACAGTGCCCGGTACATGAAATTCATGCCGGCTCATTGAGAATGATATTCAATAGCAACCCCCAGAGCTCCTTGTGCCATTAACTCTGCTGATGCCTCCAGGCCATGCTCCTCTGCTGTTTGGTTTGCTTCAGTGTGGCTGAGCAGAAATTATGAGTCTGAGATCTTACTGGCATTTCCAGGTCTTTATTAGTTTTGAAGACATGCACGCTTTATAACTCAAAGCAACAGAAAGCTGAGTTTCTCCAAGCCTCACAGCTTGTGGGTAATAGTGGAGTTGCAGGAACAATAATTCAGACCTCACTGGACCTGAGAAGGACCTTGGTTCTCTGAAAACTTTCCTGTCTTGAGTAATTTGGCAAATATTTGTAGGAAGCTTCACGGAGACCTAGAAATAGCCATCCATGTTGGTAGAGTTGAATAGCATCCTTTCTGCCCTGATCTGTCTTCCCAGAGTCTCAGAATGCTACCTTACTTGGAAATAGGATCTTTGCAGGCCCTATTAAGGGGAAGCCCTACAGGATTAAGGTGGATCCTAAATCTAATGACTGATGTCTTCCTAAGAAGAGGGCAGAGTCACAGAGAAGCTGTGAAGACAGAGAGACTGGGGTGATGTTGCAACCAGCCAGGAAGCACCTGGGACCACCAGAAACTGGACAAGGCATGAAAAAGTCTTTCCTAGATTCTTTGGAAGGAGCATGTTTTGGCTGACACCTATGGATTTTAGACTTTTGGCCTCCAAACTGCGAGAGAATAAGTTTGTGTTGTTAAAGACCAGTTGGTTTCTGGCATTTGTCATGGCAACCCTGGTGCAATAGTGTGAGATGCTTACTCACCAGGCCTGCATCAATATTCTCTTCCCATGATTCACTTGAAGGTGGGGCTCCTGATGCCACTGTTGCAGCCCTGTCAGCTCTATAAGCCTTTTCTCATGCTCTGTCTACATTTAGTTGTAAGTAAAGTTCCTGGGATAGTGGCTTAAACAATAAGAATTTATTTTTCTATCATGACAGTAAAAACAGAGGCAGAAGATCCTAGTGGATTTTCAGCAGTTTAGAGGCTTCTGTGTTCTTGTGGCTTTTTAGCGCTTCCCCTTGGGGTTGCAAAATGGCTTCCAAAATGGTTGCCAAATGGCTGCCAAATGGCTAGGCATTTGGTCCTCATAGCAGACCACCAGCAGGCATGAAGAATGGGGCCACCCAGGCATCTCTCTCTCAGTCAGAGGAGAAAATAGAATCCAAAGCAACCAGCATATGACTAGAACCTGGTCACATTTTCTTGCCTTTATTGTAAGGGAGGCTATTTACAAAGAGAATTCCTGTAATTAGTAGCCGTTTTAAATATATACATATATTTATTTTTAAAAAAGAACTGGGGTACAGGCCAGATGTGCAGGAGGGTGAGAGGATTCACCGGAGAGAGAGCAAGGAACAGAACAGATAGATTGACTGAAATACACTGCTGAGGGGAGCAGCAGGAAAGACAGGAGAGGTCTGCGGCACCATGTGGGATTCTCGCAGGCCGGTCAGGATCAAACCCGCGCTGCAGAGGCTGCAGACAGCCCCATAGTGCAGCACTCAACCAACTGCCTGCACCACCAAGGAGGCCCTAATAGCCTTTCTTACAGAAGGTAGGATGTTAAAGCAAAATCGGGTGGCAGATTCAGGGTGCCGGGTGGTGGGTGCCATACCTACCTTGGCTGTTGCCTCTCAGGGCTGGTTGGGCCTTGCTCCCTGTGGACTCCAGGCTTGCTCTGGGTCTGCTGTGCCTCACACATAACCAAGGAGACGCTTCTTGCTCACACTCTGAAGTCACAAAGTCTCTGCAATAATGTGAATAAAGTTCTCCCCAGATACCCACGTCCTCATCCCGGGAACCCGTGGGTATGTTACCTTACATGACAAAAGGGACTTGGCAGATGTGGTAAATTTGACAATCATGAGCTGGAGCTACATCCTCTTGGGCCCAATGTAATCACAAGACTCCGTGTCAGTGGGAGGCAGGGGATAGAGCTAAGGAGACGTGACCTTGGAAGCAGAGGCTGCAGTGATGTGGCCATAGGTCTCCAGGAGCTGGCGATGCAGGCAGCTTCTAGAATCTGGAAAAAGCAAGGACCAGATTCTCCCCTAGAACCGGAAAGAACACAGTTGTCCCAAAACCCTGACTTCAGGCCTGTAAGACTCATTTTGGACTTCTGACTCCCAGAACAGTAAAATAAGTATGTCTTCTGTTTGAACTCACTTAATTTGTGGTAGTTTGTTACAAAAGTCATAAAACCCTAATACCACCCCAGAATCCCGCTGCCTGGGTCCCCAGACCTCACAGGGGGCTGGGCAAATGGGCCTTCATCTTCTTGTGGAACCCCCCTCTTCCTCTGTATATCCGTGGGCCTGAGCTAGAAAAGGAGCTCACGCCCTGCCCTTCCCCTCAGCTCCACGCTCTCCATCCCTCATCCTCTCCAGCCCAGCCCCCATCCCTCAGTCCCTTCCCCCACCCCATTCCTGCCATCTCATCCCCCATCCTCCATTCCACCTTCCTCGTGCTCTACACCTCCTCTCTTCCTCCCCAATCTGTCCATCCCTACCCCCATCTCCTTGCACCATCTGACATCCTCCAAATCCATTCCCTACCGCATCCCCTACCATCCTCCCCTCATTCACCGCCCCCTCTCCCTCCATCCCTCCCCTAGACCCCCACTCAGACATTGTCTGTCTTGCTTAAACCCTCTGTTGGTGGACTCTTTGGGGGAGGGGTCTATGCTCCTCTGAGGGGGTGCTCAGCCAGCCTGTCTCTGCTGAGGCTGCCCAAGACCTCATCTCGTCATGCTCTTCCCCTGTGGAGTCTGGTCTTTAATTTTCACAGCATAGGCTCACAGTGACCCACACTCCCTCCCAACCAGAGAGGCACCTGTAATTAGAAAGCCCCGGGGTGTCACCAGAGTCAGCAGCTGGGTCCCTCAGGCTTCAGCTCTCTAGGGAGGCAGAAAGCTGCTCTCCAGCAAGGCTGGGCCCTGAGCCCAACAAGCCGAGAGAGAAAACCCAGTGAGGGTGGCTGGACAGATGGCCTTCTCCGCGCCACCCTCCTGTGCTTGCTCCCACCTCTGGAGCATAAGCGCAGTAATGCAGTGGTGAGGTGCTGAGCCCAAGAAGAAAGCAGCGAACGCACAGCTCTGCAGATGTTTGTATTTGGTTCTCAGCATGTGCCTCAAGGGAGCATTGAGGAAAGGGTTTCCTCAGGCTCTTTGGCACCATCCCTGGGGTCTGTGACCCTGAGGAACAGAGTTAGAAGAGGCTGATGGCTACACTCTGCCTCAGAGAAGCAGGACTCCTGGAGCACACAGTATAGGGCATCCGGAAACACTGGTCTGCAGCGTGTCTTTCCCAATAGGCCTCTGGGCACACCTGTTTGAATCTGAGCTCCATTCTCCTCTTCCTCTGCTCACTCACCCACTTGCTTCTGGTCTGAAGTAGAAATGGCACTGGGTCCTTCCTAAGTCGTAAGTGTTCTGCTGCAGGTCCACTGCCCACCACCAGCTCTCACTGACCCATGCAGACTGCTACAGAAGCTTCCATGAGCCAGCTCACATGCCTGCAAGGCTGGGGCTCACCCCACCAGACCATTCAGTGCCAGATCACACACCCAACAGTGTCAGTGGTGGGGGCAGATTCTGTGAGAACAGGTTGTGCTCAAGGTTGACACGCAGGCATATGTCCAGTATAAAAGCTTGTCCATCACCAACTGCCCAGAAAGAAGATGAAATATCCAGAGAATGCACAAGTACCAACCAGCCTGACTAGAGGATTAGAGGGTTTATCTCTCTTCCTTAGGTGTGTTAAGACTAGAGTGAAACAAACAAAAATATTAAAAGGTACCTGGGCAGGGCAATGCTTCAGAACATCCATCCTGTCTCAGCTAATGAGCACTTCACCCCCTAGTCTCAAAATTCCACACCTCACCTCATAGTTTATCCAAATATAGGGTGTGGTCATCATTAGGGCACACTCATGGACACGCTGCTGGAGCTCCAGAGAACATTCCTGGAATTTCTTAGAACCCAAGGGAGGAGGAGCAGGCTCCCCAATGTGCACCACAGCACCCCTTCCACCAACAAAGGATAGTGGTGCTCAACTGCCCCCTCCAGGGACATTTTCTTGACTGAAGAACAACCTTGCCCAAGATTACCTTTCCCAGAGCAGCCCCCATACAGTGACCAGTCAGCAGATTGACAGGTCCCGGCCCCTCAGCACAAGCAGGGCACCTACAGGATGGTTGAAGGGGGTTGCCTGATTGGCCAGAAGCAAAATCCATGCTCCCATCAGTGCAGCATCAGTGCAGATGCCTGTGAGCTTAGTGAAGGGGCAGCATGGCTGCCTGACACAGCCCCGGCCCCACATGAGTGCTTCCTGTTCAGCCTCTTCCAGAAAGAGTGATCAGCAGGGACTGCCAGGAATGTTGTCTGCCCAGTTCCAATTGGCTGAGATGGTGTAATCTGGAGGAGAAACACAGGTTTGTGCTGTGATGTTGACGCCATGAATGTCCAAGGGAAATGGTGGTCATGGAAGGTCAGCCTGCTCTGTACTCAGCCCTTGGTGAGTGGACATTCACAGTCTTCTGTGGGCTGACCCTTCAGCAGCATGACCCTTGATCAAAAAGCTGGCCTTTGAGATGAATTGGTCAGTCCCTTGACCCAGGCAGGTAGAAAACTCCATATTGGGAGTCCCAAGGGTGTGACTTCTGCAGAACCCCAGAAATGAAGGGTGTTTTGGTGGAGTATTTTGGCCTCTCAGTTGATTACAGGGAATTAAAATTCTTCCTGACTGCACATTGCTCCCCTGCCCCAAGTAAACTCTTCCCACCCCCACCCCCAAAAGAAATATGTTATAAAGGTCCAAGAATTTTCCATTCATGCTGCATGATTTGCAAAATCAAGATAAGGACCACCTAGGGTCTTTGTTATTTTTATGTGACACCAATAAACCATTTTTACTCCCCTATGTCACTCCCCCCCACAACCCACAGCCACTCATCTTTTTGCACACAGAAGCAACTTTCTGGAACTTCATTCCTTTATTATAAACAGAAACTACTCCCAGTTGGTCTTGGTCTTTAAACAACAGTCTTTAGTTCCCCACTCTTCCTGCAGCTTCGTCTCCTCTATTTTGTATTTATGAGGCCATCACGGGACACTACACTGGAAATGAATCTTAACTGTTGTTTTCTGAGAATGCTCATCTTAATAATTCCTAAAATATAAAAGGTCTGAGTCCTTATGAGACCGGAAATATACATTCCTATAGTTCTGAGACTCACAGCCCTCACTGAGATTTGAAGAATGAATTTTTAAAAAATTTGGGTGTTGGTGAAAAGTAGCATCCCCCCAATCTGCTTCTGGCTTTGGGGAGTATAGCTGCATTCTCCTTCGGACCTGGGCCTTTGTCTTGGAAAGTGTTTTATTTAGTCTGGGTTCTCCAGAGAGATAGAACCAGTGGGAAATGTTTTTATCATAAGGAATTTGTTCACATGATCATGGAGGATGGGTTCTACATGATCAGATGTAGACCCAGGAGAGCTGAGGGCCTAGCTCCAGTTGGAGTCCAGTCGGAAGGCAGGAGAAAATAGTGGCCCAGCTCTAAGACAGGCAGGTAGAGAACAAGAATTCTCCCTCACTCAGCTCTTTTTTCTATTCAGGTCTTCACCCACATTGGGAAGAGGACGCTAATCAGTTTTCAGACTCAAATGAAATCCAAAAACACCCTTATGGACACATGCAGAAATAATGCTTAACCAAATATCTGGACACCGTGCCAGTCAAGTTGACATAAAATTAATCATCACAGGAAGATTGAACTGATCATAGGAAGGATAATTCCAAGAAACCCACACATTCACAAGTCCTTTGGCAAGACTAGAACCAGAGAAGCAAAGAGCATCTGCGTGCAGAAGCAGCACTAGGCTGTAAGTGAACAAGTGGGAGTATGGTGGGTGCCTCTTAGTGCCTCAAGCCAATATGGAGGTGAAGCAAATAGAAAGGCAGGAAGGGAGAACTTGTGTTACAGTTCACCTTTGGAGAACTAGAGGGCCGTTCATGTCACTTCTCCAGGATTGAACCCATCTTCAAGCCTTGTAGACCCCCTGGCTACTCTGGCTGAAAGACCTCTGTCAGTTCCTGGTCCTGGTCCATGATTCACAATCAGATTGGGATTTTCACATCTGCTGGGTCCACTCTGTCCATAGAAAAGACATGGAAGCTGGGGGCCTCTTCCTAGGGTCTTCTGGAGAAGTTAAAAGTCAAGATTTTCATTTGGGGGCCTCCCTGGTGGCACAAGGGATTGAACGTCAGCGCTATGAAGTTATCCATAACTACTGCAGCACGAGTTCGATCCCCAGCCAGGGACCTGACCCACATGGCACAGCAGACTTCTCCTGACTTGCCCGCTGCTCCCCTCAGCAGTGTATTTCAGTATATCTGCCTGTTCTGCTCCCCACTCTGCCTCTGGTGAATCCTCTCATCCCCTGTACCTCTGGCCTACACCCCAGTTCTTGTGTGCATAAATAATCTTAAAAAAAGATTTTCATTTAGGAAAAAAGACATCTAATAAGAAAGCAGGCATAGCTGGATTCTTTGTTTATCAATTAGGAATTCTGATCAGCTCTGAATAGTTAAGACTTGAAAAACAATAGCTTAAAAAAACATAGAAAAATAAAAGCACTGTAGGCAAAAATAGTAATGGAGATGTAAGCAGCCCAGTACTGTGTGGCGTGCTACACTATCGTTGCCCTTAGGGACTTAGCATCCTTTCATCTTGCAGTCATGCTGATCCCTGCAGAGGAGTCCTCAAGGTCATGACTTCAATATGGCAGCCGCTTTTCTGGATGGCAGCAGAAAGAAGAGAGTGTGGGGATATCTGGGATATCTGGGTGGTGGGTCAGTGTCACCTCAATCTTCTCTCCTCTCTTCTAAAGAATTTCCCAGAAGTTCAACCCTATGACTTCAGCTTGGGTACCCATGTGAGGGAGATGGACTTTCTTGGTGAAACAACAATTCTTCACTCCATATGCCATCCATGCTCGCTGGTGCCATTGTCTATGGGGTCACCTGACCTTCTGTGCCCTTTTAAATTCTCTTAGTCTTAGCAAAAGATTAATATGTCAGGCCCTTTGTTCTCTGTCCTGCTTGTTCAGACAACAGCTGTGTTTTAGTCATCATGGACAAAAGTCTAACATAATACTATAAGCCAGAGGGAAATTCATTGGTTTAAGCAACCACACTGTGGAAGAGCTGTGCAGGGGTTCTCCTTCGTAATAATCCCTGGAAGACTGGAGCCCGAAGTGTGCTCGTCCTGCCTTTCTATTTGCTCTACCTCCATATTGGCTTGAGCTTTGTCCTGTCCCACTAAAAATCAATTTCTTTTTTTTTTAAAGATTTATTTATTTATGCATACAAGAACTGGGGTATAGGCCAGAGGTGCGAGGCATGAAAGGATTCACCAGAGACAGAGTGGGGAACAGAACAGGCAGATCTACTGAAATACACTGCTGAGGGGAGCAGCAGGTGAAACAGGAGAGGTCTACTCTGCCATGTATGTAGCTCCCTGGTCGGCTGGGGATCGAACTCGTGCTGCAGATGCTGTGGAGAGTTTCACAATGCTGTGCTTAATCCCTTGCACCACCAGGGAGACCCTAAAATCAATTTCTTTACACATCAGCCGTCAAGGAAAAGGGGTGCATAGACTCACTTGTTAACAGCTCTATAACTAGAGCAGAGGACCATGCCACACCTACTTCGGTATGAACAACCTTGGGGAGACTGCCCCAACTTGGTGAAGTGTCCTTCTTTTGCCTACTCATGATGGGCAGGGAACGATGACCTCTTCCAACCCCATGGCTAGATCAGGCCTGGGGAAGGGCAGTCAGGAGGGAGAATGATTTAGGGTCCCAGAGGCTGAGGCACAGGCAGAGCTACCAGTGGTGCTTGGCCAGACAGCACCCCTGTGACCCGTGTCCTAAGGCTTCCTATGTCAGTTCTGTGTCTGTTTTCCCATCAGTTCATATTTCATCCTCCCACTGTTCCTTTCTCTACTGCAGGAGGCCTGACTCCTGCAGGCTACTTTTCCAGACTTCCATATCAACTTTCACTGGACTTCAGTCAATGGAGAAAGTTCTTTTCTCTGGCTCTGGGCCCTGGTTGGCTTCTCTGGCAGCAGTTGATTTCCTCTGTGGCCACAGCTCTGGGGCGCAGCTCCCGCAGTGTGGGGCCTGAGATTCACAGGGTGACCTTGGTCCCTGAGTGTCCCAAACTGCCTCCGCCCTTGGTCCCATCAGCCTAAGGGAGTAGTGACTTTCTGTTCTTGCTAATCTCTGGGTTTATGTCATTTATGCAATCGGTTGACTGCACTAACTTTCTCCTGTTGTAAAAACATAAAGGGAGTTGTTTCCTGGTGAGACCTGATTTGCAGACCTCCTTAAGCCACACACTCTCCCCCTTCCCTCCAGTGGACATCTGCAATAGAAACCCTGTCTCTAACCTGGTCACCAAAGGGCTCCTCTTCTGGGAGCAGCTGCAGTGTAAGGGCTGGGAAGGGGAGGCTGCTGCGTGTACCCCATCCCTACTAGGCAGTCACCTATTCAAGTGCTCAGGGAAATGCAACCAGTTCTCAATTAGTTGTGAGTGGATGAGCCCAGAGAATCTGTACAGAGACCTGCATTCCCTACCTGTCTCCACCTGCCTGTCAGTGAGAATGAAGACTTTTTAATGTGAGCAGAAGCAAAACCAAGAGCAGAAAGTAGACTAGCTGCAGAACAGCCAGTGTATATGGAAATCACAGCAAAATGGTTCAAGGGATCCTGTGTGACCTGCATTCTCTGTTACACGAGCAATTGAAAGTTGACACAATAATGGATTTTTTTTACATTTGATTGCATACACCCTGGGATGTCACTCCAAGTAAAGATCACACTCCTGTTAAACCAGCTGGGGAAATAGCACTGGAACATTTTCCAGCAGCTGGCTTCAGGGAACAGAAATGGTACTTATACTGTTTTTCCTTCTGGAATATCACTACATGTGAACTTATTTATTTTCTCAACATAACACCCCAAAACTACATTAAATTATGTCCCTCGCCGCCTTCTTTCCTCCTATTTTAATTAAGGGAGGATTTCTCTACTAGTCAGGATAATCCAGTTACTGCTGTGGTAACAGCATCCTAAATTCTAGGAGGCTTATAACAATAAAGACACTTAGTCCATTGAGGTTTGGGGCACTGCTCCACGTATCCTCATTCTGGGCCCCAGGCTAGTGGAGCAGCGGCTGTCTGGAATAGCAGCAGCGGTTGTTGTGGCAGACGGAAGTGACAATACCATTCTTACCACAATTCAAAGTCATAGAATGCCATCGAATCATGCAACTTCTAATGGCCATTTTATTTTCCCAGAGTTGTAGCTCTAAATTTCCATCTTGGTCTTAATAAAAATCTCTGTTGTTTTATATAATCTCAAATGTAATGTCAATAAAATGGTGCACATGATTTTTTTTTTCACCTCTAATTACCCCACCTCAGTTAATTATATCACTTTCTTTTTTTTTTTTTAAAGAGGCATGTTTATTTTTTTATTTGTTTGTTTTGTTTATACATGCACTGGGTGCAGTCAGAAGCGCGGGAGGGTGAGAGAATTCACCAGAGCCAGAGCGGGGAGCAGAACAGGCAGAAGGACCGAGGTACACTGCTGAGGGGAGCAGCGGGCGGCAGGAGAGGTCTGCGCGCCATGTGGGACCCTCCTCTGGTGGCCGGGGAGCAGCCAGGGATCGAACCGGCGCCGCAGAGGCCACGGGCAGCTTCGCAACCCAGCGCTCAACCGCTGCGCCACTGGGGAGGACCAATTATATCACTTTCTACCCAGTTGCTTAAGTCAAACTTCTGAGCACCTTCCTGATTTCTCTATTTATTTCAGTTGCCACATTTAACCCATCTATAAGACTTATTGATTCAACCTTCAAAGCAATTTTAGAGTCTGCCTACTTCTCCCTGTATACATGATATCCATTTGTCTTAGTTTAGGTTTTTCCCAGAAGTAGACCCTGATGCAAGGATTAAAATGCATCCAACTAAAGCTTAATCTTATAAGGAACCTCTGGGAATTGATGTAAGGCGTGTCTTAGCATTATTCCACTGAAATGGGAGAGTATCACCAATGGAGAGATGCTCCTGGTGGCTATTAAGTTTTTGACTTTCAGGCTGTGCTTCAAGCAGGCAGAGTAGCTTCACATGGTTTGGAGGAAGCCTTCCAGAACCAAAGACAGAGCCATTGGCAATTTGAAGTCAGCTGCTTCATTGAAGTAACAACCAGAAGGAGGAGAACACAGCAGCTGCTGTGGCCCCAGACCCACTTGTGAGTCATACTAAGTTTACCCTCATACAACTGCTCTTCAGCATGATGGTCTTTGCCAGCTGATAACAAAAAACAAGACAGGAAAGCTCGTGGGACAAGCTACAGCTCACCAGTTGGTCCTGAGACTGTTCAATCTCTCCACTACCACTTACAGTTTCTCTTTGGCCTTCTGCTAGCACTTCAATAGGTTAAGGCTGTTTTCTGGTAACCTAGACTTGCATGCTTGATGGATTTGGCAAGTTATGGTTCTGAAGTTGCCCATTTGCAGTAATTAACAAATAATGAATCATGAAGAGTTGTCACCCAAGTAAATTCCCTGTGTTTCAGACAACCCCCTGCTGGCTCCCATTACTAGTAGCAATTCTATCATTCATGATAAGCAGGGCCAATTACTTCACCAGGTTAGTAATTCCTTTCTTTGCTTACAGGTATACTAGTGTGAGGCACACCAAATGACAAGGCGGTAGCTATAGCTTTAGATTTAGTGGAACCTATACTGTGTCTCCAGGTAGAAGTGTTCCCTTAAGGCTTTCTAGTCTAGCAGAGCCTGAAGTGTAGAGGACAGGAAGCATAAATTCCCCAAATGGGCCATTGGGCTTAATAGAGAGAGGAGTTACTTCTTTCCACCCTTTGGTTCCAGACAGATATCCCCTGCCTATGTGAACACAACATAGCATGTCTTTGATTCAAAATAGGTGTTGCATTTTGAAAAACACCATCTGAAGCCCCCAAAGGGCTATCCCCAATCTGGTGTCCTACCTGTATCCTGTAGCAGCCATTCCAGAATTGTCTGAGGTTGCCAGAAGCTCTGAGTGATGCAGTAAATTGGCACCACTGGTTTCAGTGCTGTGTTGATAAGTTGGCTTGTGTGTAGGAGGTATCTCTGATTTGTAGAGTTAGCCAGAGTTTTGATTTGCAAATACTTTCACTTTGGCCAATTTCAATCTACCAATGTTTTAAACAATTGCTTTAACAGCTTCCTGAAGGATCAGCTCTCCTGAGTCAGTACTAGCTGGCTCTAACAAGCATAATGCCTGGAATCCTTGCTCGGCCATTGTTGATCCTCTTTCATTATAAATCCATCCCCGTGGATAGAGGCAGTGTTATATGTCTCTCCCAACAATTGTGAGACAGCAGACAGAGGGGATAAGTTCTTACCAGGAGTCCTTACCAGGAGTCTGTGGCCATCTTAGGTAAAGGTGAGCCACTGCCCTTCTTGGTACAATGTGCCTGATGTGATTGATAATGAGCCATTATCAATTGTAAGGGAGCTTAGCTCTCCTGTCAAAAGGTAACCTGTGGTTAACTGACAGTAGCCTCCATGGGTGTGTGCCCTCAGACTTTGGTTTCAAGCTGGAGCACCTCAGTCTGAGACACTTCCTCCTCACATTTTTTCCCTTAGTTTTCACTGATGCAAGATTCATATCACCATTGGCAGGCTCTTCATGCCCACACTGCTCCCTCTCCCTTTATCTGTCATAGGCATCACCACTCCTCACCCCCATAAATCTATTGTGTTTTTAACTCCAGCTTGATGTCTGCTTCCTGGAAAACCCACTGACACAGTATGCTTGAGTGATGGTACCATATTTAGGCCTTAGTCTTAGTATCTGCTTCTGATTTGTCAGACATTCCATAATGGCAGCAACTAGATCAGTCCTAGCAAGAACTAGCTCAAGCTGTTGAAACTGAGCATAACTTTTACCATGGCCACATGGCTATTCTGTTCACTGTGCAAAAACCCTGTTGTGGCCAAGATGAGTCATCTGGTCTACCTAGCCGAGCAGTGCCTCTTCTATGATCGGAGCTTTACAGGGATATTTTCATTTGATGCAAAGATCCTCACAGGCCACTCTCATACATCCATCTATGTGCTTCTTCCCCAGACCCCTTTTATCTCTTCTCATCCAATGACCTAACACTACCCATGTTATAAATAACTAGCTAAGTCATTAAAAATGAATGAAAGTCTGGATTATCCCTATTTTGGGCCATTATTCATTCAAGTCCAGGTTAATAACCAAGTGTATTGCTCAAAGCTCTAACCACTGAGAAGTTTTCTCTTTGACACCCATGAAATGGTACTACAGAGTAGTAACAGCCCATTTTAGGCTTGTATCAAGATATTGTACTAACCAATGGTGATAAACCAAAAGTTTTCTTCCTTTTTCAGCTGGTCAAAAAGAAAAAATCATAAGGTCATAGGTATGGAATGACAGGTAGGTGACATGAGGGACTGGACCATTTGTGTTCTCTGGATCTACTCAGTCTGATTCCAGATGCATCATTGTCATATTCTGATGAAATTATGTTCTGCCTGCCCAACCTTATGAATTAGTGGGTCTGACAATACCCCATGTAGGAAGCAAAGCTAGCTCAGACTATGCTGAAACACAATTTATTCTGCTGATCAGGTATCCAGTCTTTACTACAGCACCCAGTAGCATGCAGGAGTTATTGTTCAAAAGGTGAATTTATTACTGAAGATATTTATGGATTGAATTGTGTTGTCTCAAAATTCATTTCTTGCAATTCCAGACCCAAAAATGACTGTATTTGGAGATAAGACTTTTAAGATGGCAAAGAAAATTAAATGAAGCCATAAGCATGGACTCTTAATCTAGTAGACAAATGTCCTTACAAGAAGAGGAGAGAGACCATTCTCCCCCTATACACACACCTTTCCATACGCATGGAGGAAAGGCCAGTGAGAACACAGTGAGAAGGGAGCTGTTTGCAAACCAGGAAGAGAGTGCTCACCAGACACAATCCTGGAAGCACCTTAGGATTGGGCTTCTGGTCTCCAGAACTGTAAGAAAATTAATTTCCGTTTTTTAAGCTACCTATTCCATGATATTTTGTTATAGTCATCCTGGTAGATTAATAAAGGATATCATGGATGTGCTGTAAAACTCTGCATATGCACTAAGACGCTTCTGTTATGACTTTCCCAGACATAGCACTGTCCTTATTTACTGTGGGTGACCCCAGCACCCAGCACCAAGCACCAGGACCCATTGTGGTACCCTGCAGAGCTGACCATATTGCAACCTGCATGTGACTAGAGCTCTTTTAGCTCTTTTTTTTTTTTTTAAATCTCTGGGTTCCCTTCAAATACAACATCTTCCTAAATCATTCAGTTGGATTGGTGCAATTTATCCAAGTGTGTTATTTGCTACTTCCAAAGTTATGGGGCCTATTAACTCTGCACATTTTCCTTATTGGTAGAAACTACAGGGTGTAACTACTGCCCAACAATTCTCAGATCACCTTGAATCTATGTGTTTATTGTACTTGTCACTTCATACTCCCCAGGTTTGACTAAAATTATGTCAATGATGTAGTTAAGTGACTATGGACTGGGAGGCAAAAGTACTATCATCTCACTATTGAGACGCAACATGACAGTTAACCCAAACTTCTACCAAAACTGTAGATATATGTTGTTGTGCATTCCAAGTATGAAGGATTTTTTATTCTTCTTTGTGATGAGAATTGGAAAGACTGCATTTACCTCCTCAATAGTTATTACTTATGTGAGTGACATATTACTTATGTCAGAGAATGTGTTACCTATTCTAGTCAAAATATATCTGCTACAGCTGCTAAAATTGGGGCTACAATTTGTTTAAAATGTATTAGCAGTTTTATTAATTTCTGTGACTGTTACTACAAATTACCATTTGTTGACGTAAAACAACACACATTTATGCTCTTATTTTTGGTTTTGAAGATCTTAGTTTCACAGTTCTGAAGACTGAACTTAGCATCAAGGGACTAAAATCATGATGACTATAAGGCCCTGCTTCTCAGTCTCAAAGATAATTTCACTTGTCTTAGATTTTTGTTAAAGCAGGATGACATTTTCGATATGAAATTGTATTTCAGTTAGTTTTTGTTTTTTGATAAACCATCTCAAATTTTCATGACTTAAAATAACATTTTTAAAATCACATTCTTTGAGTTGTTTGTGCTGATTTTGGTGAAGCAAGCTGCCTTACTGGGCAGGCCCATGGCGCAAGGAACTGAGTACAGTGTGAAGAAATGGTGTCCTCATCATCCTCACCGCCATCATTACCACTGCTATCCACCACTGCTACCACTCTCCTTCATAGTTTCACTGAGGATGGGTTATTCTTCACTGTTAATTGACCAATAAGCAGAACTGGGTTTTGGGTCCTTTTGCCCAAATCCTTTCCTTTTTACCCAACCAATTCTGTGAACAAAGGGGCCTCCCTCCAACTTGCCCTTTATTGCTTTAACTTCTCCAGCTCTAAGCAATCGGCTCTGGACTTGGCAGCCAGCACCAAGGTTAGCTAGGATCTTGTTTCTGCATTAGAGGGAGGAGATTGGTTCTCAATTTACATGCTGGTGCTTGGTTAACAGGAAACTTTGGCTATGTCCTTCCTAACTTCTCCTATGCCCCTTGTGTAGAGATACTCCCTAGGAATTCCTCCAAACACTTGGCATCGGTCTGTTGCGTCCCTGGGACTTAGGTCAGTAGTGATGCGCCTTGTCATGAACTTACCTGCTGGCTAAGTTCAATGATACTGGGGTCCTGGGCTCCAAGTTGCCCTGGCTTGAAGAAGAGGCTCTGCAACACAGCTGTGACTGTCCTGAACAGAGGCATTTCCCCCACTGTCAGACTTGGAAATCCAGCGAGCCATATAGGGTGGCCTAATGTTCTAATGCTGCTCAAAGAAACTCTAGAAATCCTTTCTTTCACCTGCTGCCTGCAGGCAGGTGTGAGGGGCCCTGCCTCCTCTCAACTGATGGGTCGCTGTTGATGGTGAGAACCTGGGAAGAGAGGCTCAGTTCATGTTCTAAAGAGGAAATCTCTCTCTATGAGCCCTGCCCCGTCTCACACTCTTCTCATTTTTCTTCCAGATGTCTTCCTTTGCATTGCATTAGACAGAAACATGGGGGAAAAATAGTGGCACTGTGAAACAGAGAGAAGACAGGGTGCCAGAAACTGGAAACCAGTGTGGGACAGGAGCGGAAAAGACACCCTGAGAGCAGAGCAGATATGATGTGGCCCCCAGGAAGGCCTCATTTGTGAATTGTCAAGGAGGTCAAGGTCAGGACACAATTGGTTTCAGGAATACTTCAAATGCGAATTTCATTAGGTTTTTAAGATCATTAAATGACCGATATAATTAAGTTAATACAAGTATAGACATTCATAAAACTAGTTTTCAAATTCATGAGTCCTTGATATTCACTTATGAAAAGCTTATGATTTTCTTGACTTGGCCAATATACAAGCAGACAACTCATCCCTCATAGGCCTCTCTGTATCAGGTTGAAGGAAAAGAAAGTCACAAAGTAGCATCTTAATGGATCTTCCCTGACCACCCTATTCAAAGTGGTGCCCTGAGCCACCCTTAACCCATACTCAGACTCTATGCCTGAGTCATTAATGTAGGTAAAGAGCCTGGACCAGTGCCTGGCATATAGTAGGTAGTTAATGCATTCTCCTGAATGAGTTAAAACATTTGGTAAGCTGTTCCATCCCCTGACTGTGAAGAAAAGGACACTGGGAGCTAAGGTGATGCAGCGCTGGAGGACAAGCAGCTAGAGCTTGCATGAGGACCTGGTGTCCCAGCTCCCATAGCGCTCCTCGTGTTTCACAGGGAGAAGCCAGCTATGCTTCCTCCCTGCAAACCCTGCACAACTCTCCCCATCACCCTGGTGATTGTGCCCCAGCGTCTTGCACCTCTGGGTCATCTAAGGAGTGAAAGACACTCTGTGACCTGCAGAGATACAACTACCTAGAGAAGCTGGAGGGACTTCTGAGCACGTTCCCTTAAAGCGACATCCTTTCAGTCAGGCTTTGAATGGCAGAGCATCAGCACCGCAGCTGTGACAGCCACAAGGAAAAGTCTATAGAGGAAGCAGATTGAAATGAAGATCAGAAGCCAAGAGAAGTTGGTCAAAGGGCAGTGCTGACCAAGGTGCTGAGATCCAGAGCCCTCACTGGGCTCTGTCCCCTGATGTGAGCACCTGGGAGGCTGCTGCCTGAACTGACCACCCCTGCATACTCCTCTGGCCCTGCCTCTCAACTCTCCCAGCATCTGCTACCCACTGTTCATCCTGTTCTGTCCTAGCTCTGACAGGCTTGAACAATCTTCAAGAATGAGACCTCCTGTGACCTTCCTGGACCTCTGCACTTACCTTATGGGCTATAAAAGGACCCATTCTGGCTCGGGCAGCGTCCGGAGGACTCGGAGACTGCTTTCTCAGGACTGGTCCCCTGCTGGGAAGTTGCCCAGTGCTGCAGTGTGTGGCCTAACACACCACGTGCTCCAGGGTTGCTATTTCTTCACTAATTTCTAAAACTTGGAAAGGAGTCTCAACCTACATACATGCCTCTTGTGCCCAGGCCTGTGGTAGGCACCAAGAGCAGTGGCCTGGCCCTGGAGCTGGAGAAGTGCCAATCAGGATGAGACAGGTGAGCAGTGCCTGCCAGAAAGCAGAAAGGAAGTTAAAGGGATGTGATATGAAGCATTCTGGGAAGGCTACCTGGGAGTAGTAGGCTACCCCAAAGTTCTGACTTTCCATGAAAGCTGAGTCCCAGTAGGTTTAACCATGAAAGGAAATACCCTTCCCCAGCTGTGTAAGGGGTGGTGGCAATGAGGCCCCAGCTTTGCTGGGCCTGGTGGCTGGGCCTGGCCTCACCAAGCCCAGTGCAGCCCATAGGTTCTCAGAACCTATGTTGGGGACCTCAGTGGAACCCTGGCTGCCTCCTGGAGCCATGGCATTGGGAGGGAGAGGATGGGGGCAAGGCTAATCCCACACTGGGGTGCTGGACTGGAAGGCCTGGGCAGGAGAAGGGTTTAACAGCACCTTGTATTACACTGAGCCACCTAAATCGTCCCTGCCAGAGGGAAGGCCTGACACATAGTAGGCTCAGACTCATCCTGAGCTCAGTAGGCTCAGTATGTCATTGAAGGTGTGAGAGCAAAAGTATATCCCTACATATGGTCCTTGCTCTCTCTCTCTCTCTCTCTCTCTCTCTCTCTTTCTCTCTCTCTTGCCTATCTATCTATCTATCTATCTATCTATCTATCTATCTATCATCATCATCAATCTAGATGTTTCAGGTAGGTCAACTCACTTAAATTAAACTCACCCCTGACAACTTTCTTTAAAAAACAATGGTGCTCCAAGAAGTGGGGACATGGCCTGTAATGCCTGTTGGCAGATGTGAGAGCAAGGGATGGGAGGTTCAACTATAAATGTCTGCAGTGAGCTGCAGGGTATGTGGCGGGCAGCAAGCCCCCAGTACAGTGGGGCAGATTCTCCTGTAATAGTGGGGCAGCAGTATCAGAGGGAGCTTTGTGTGGTGGGGCAGGTTTTCATGGAGAGGCAGAAGGGACCAAAGTTTGCTTTCAAAAGGTTCTATTTTGAAAGCAACATCCATCCTGTAGAGTGATTTAAATAATTCAAAGATCACCCAATCTTTTTCTAGAATTTCTCATTTGCTCCTGACAACTAATGGTGAGACAGTAGAGAAGAGATTATTGGTCCCATTTTACAGAGGAGAACTCTGAGCCTTAGAGAGTTCGTGTCCAGCAGAAGTGGAACTCAATCAAAAATTCTTGACTCCCAGAAGACTGGGGTTTGAACTGGGAAGATCAGGAAGTGATTGGGAGAAACCTGTGCCTTCATGGAGGAGCCTCATGGGAGTCCTCACTAGACAGACATGGATAAAGACAGGACTCCATTTGTAAACTTGTCTGCAAAGTGTGAATAAACAATGGCTGGTTGACCTTTCTCTGAAAGGCTGGTTGCTAAGGGGAAGCATAGGAACTGCGGGTCTTACAAGACATGACCAGGCCTCAGCAGCTAAGGTCACTATATTTAACAAGTAAAAAATACAAACTGCCCTATTTTAATCTGCATTTCATATAAATAATTAATTTTAGTAAATGTCAAAAATAATGCTAATCCTAACCCATCTTGCATTTTACTAGTAACCCAATCAACAGGTTGAGGTACTTGAAGAACTTTGTTTTCCCTACTGCCCACTATCCCTATCTAGTGCCCCACATTCTGGATCTTTCTCACCATGATCTGGTGGTATGTCCCACTTTGACAAGGGCCCTGTGGAGACTGTGGGCTTAGCTAAGAATGGCACGAGCCACAGGAGACTTCAGTCAGCCCAGCTCAGCACAAGGGTTCCTGGGAGTTTGAATTTGCATCTGAGGAAAGAAGGGCCCTCTAGCCACTGTCTGGGGGATGCGGGTTGTCTAGGTAAAAGAATTAAGCGGGGGTGAGGTCACACACCTCTAAACTCTTCCCTTTCTCACTCTGGAAACTGCAGGTTTAAAAAAACCACAGGACATCTAGAATTCCAGGGATCTCAGCTCCGGTGGGCCAGGCATCACAGCCTGGATCAGAGCATGCATGCCCCAGTCAGCAGGGCTGGGTGCTGGGGCTCCCTCACCCTGCACCCTCCTCCAGCAGCTGGTGGGGTTAGCCTGCTCTCACACAGGGCCCTCTTTCCATTTGCAGATTTAATTTAGATTAACATGAAAAAAGTCCTGGGCTGCTTTTCTGCAGGCTGAATGAATGCTGTTAATTTCAGGGAGAGATAAGAGAGGGTGGGCTCATCTTACTCTACTGTCTGAGGAAAGGGAGGAAGCAGATGAGCTCCTGGCATGATGGTGGGCATCCTGGGGCTCTGCCCACACTCTGCGGTAAGTGTCAGAATCAGGGTCCCCAGGGTGCTGGCAGACTGGGCCCGTGGCCAGGGCAGCCACGAACAAAGAAACCTTCTGTCTCTATATGGACCAGTAACTCAGGGAGACTTAGGCCTGGGCTGTTAGCTTCCTACTGCCTGCCCTTCTACAGCACACTCTGCTTCCACAACTTGGGTTTGTGTGCTGGGTCCTGGAGGAGAAGGCCCAGATCAGCAAGTCCCAGGAGTCAGAGCACTGCCCCCTGGTGGCTGGAGGCATGTGTGTCAGAGTGGGTCTTCTGGGGGGGAGGGTGGATCCATGCCATGTCCCCCAGACTGGACAATCTCTCCAGCTTCACACAGTTGCCAGTGGTCAGAGTCTATTTTTAATACTACGAAGTTATTCCTGTCCTTCTTCCCCTCCAAAAGAGGTGAATTAAAGCGAAGCAAGGCTGGCCATCCTTCCTCAAAGCCTCCAAGACTGTTTCCATTCTGATCAGTGTGATTTTGAAATGCAGCTGGGTTTTCACTTCCATCCTGTAATCTTTCCCCTGCCCAGATTCAATTTAGATTAAGAAGAACAAAGGCAGGGCATGTTTGCCCTCAGCTCAATCAAAGGTGCCGGAGTTCAGCTGTCATCTCTCCTGCCCCGTGCTGCTTAGCCCTCCCTTCTGGAAGGGGCAGACAAAGAGGAGGGTGTCCAGAATGGTGGGTGGGAGGCTCTTGGAGCTATTACACCCCGAGGCTAATCCTCTCCTCCTCACCATCCCTGCGTGTATCCTCATCACTCTCAGCTGTCTTGTGGTCTGCATGCCTCCTGCACTTGGAGAAGGGCTTTCTGGGTCTTCGCCTTGGCTTTCTGAGCTCAGCAGATCCAGTGTCTCCACAGTCCCCCACGGTCTGTTTTCCTGTACAAAACTGTGCAGGACCAGTTGGCTTGGCGAGGAAGTCCCAGGTCCTTACCCCTTCTTAGCACCTTCACTGCTTTCTGTCACCACCTAGAAACTACTCTCTTTTTCCCTTAAATTTTATGAAATTTTCAGTTGCTTGAATAGCTGTAAAACACATTTTTAATAAGGATTTATTTATTTATTTATGCATACAAGAATTGAGGTGCAAGCAGAGTTGCAGGGGGTGAGAGGATTCACCAGAGACAGAGTGTGGAACAGAACAGGCAGACTGACTGAAATACACTGCTGAGGGGAGCAGTGGGCGAGACAGGAGAGGCCTGCTGTGCCATGTGGGTAGCTCCCTGGCTGGGGATTGAACTTGTGCTGCAGTGGCTGCGGAGGACTTCACAGTGCTGTGCTTAACCCCTTGCGCCACCAGGGAGGCCAGTCTGCACACTCCTAACTCATCTTCCTCAGTCCTCCACCTGAGTGGTCACCCTGCCTGCCCAGCAGCTGTGATGGAGGGTGCCTGCCAAGAGACTGCCACTGAGCAGCTAATGTGTGCCCTGGGATGCCCTACAGTGTGTTGACTAAGAATGTGTCCTCTAAGCACAGGGAGTCTGTGGGAGATGCCCCACAATTACAAGATGTGCAACCTTATGCAAACCATTTATTCTCTGTACCTTCTTCTATCAATTAAGAAACCTGAAGAGGTGCATTCAGCTACAAAACTCCCTGGTCTTCATCTTGCTTTCAGAGTCCAGATGTGGCAGAAGCTCACCCTTCAGTGTGTGACCACTTAGATCCGGAGAAGCCAGAGTCCTTGTCCTGCCTGAACTCACACCACAGATGCCACTGTTCTTGCCTCTCCACTTTTCACAAGAAGGGTGCAAGAGTCTAGAGGATCTGTCCACTCAAGCCCATGCTCCCCTTGCAATCCAAGCTTTGTCCACTCAGGACCCTGGGGTTCCCTGGTCCACAGCCAGAGTGTTCCTGCCACCTCTTGGGGCCCGTCCTCTGGAGGGTGGACTGCTCTGCCTGCACATGCCTTAGGCTGGGGGAGCACGCAGAGGCTGGACAGTGCTTTGCTGGACCCACACGCCCCATGTGAGATATCCCGCTACACACACACAGAGCAGCAGAATTGGGAGTGGAAAGTGAAGGGAGGTGGGCAGCGAGCTGAGGGAAGGGGCCAGTGGGCAACACTCCTTGTCTGCACCATCATGCTCCTGCCAGAAAAATTTCTAAATTCCAACCTGGTTGCAAGATCATGAAAGGGTAGGATACCTTTCATAATAGAGTTTGCTGGCTTCATTCACAATTTAAAAAGTATTTAGACATGTGGTATGTGGGCCTCTACTTGTACTTTTCCTGGACTAGGATATTTCGTCTATGTCGGGTACCCTGGTCCTCAACAACGAGGTTGTTTTGTCTCAACATCTCCTGCACAGCCTGGGGAAGTCTTAAGTCTCCCCAGGATTTGTAGTAAGACTCTAAGACTCAGATCTTAGGAAGCCAGTTCCATCCCAAGAAGTGTCCCCGTTGTGGTCTAATAAGAAATGAGCATTTGATATTTGTCCCTGGTTCCTGACACGGACCTCCTAAAACTCAGGTACTCTCCTGTGCTGGGGATTATAGGAATTTCTTTTCTTCTTGACATAGAGCTCCTGCATTCCTGGGAATTCTCTGGGTGATGGGAGCCTCTCACCCTCGGTGGCTTCCTGGACAGCTTCAGGGTGGGTGTTGGCTGCCAGAAGATTGAGTTTGATTAGAAGCCTAGAACTTCCAACTGCTCTCGCCCTCCCAGTGGGGAGGGTAGGGAGTAGGATGGGGAGTGGGGAGAGGCTGGAGATTAAGTTAAGCACCCGTCATACCCGTGTGATGGGGCCTCCAAGAAGGCCACTACATGGCACTGTTTGGTGAACTTCTGCATTGGTGGATGCAGCCCCTGCCAGGAGGGCAGCTCACCCCAGGGTGCGGGGATGGAAGCTCCTGGGCTCAGGGAGCTTCTGGGTCTCATCCTGTGCTCCTCTCCCCGTGACTGATCCTCTGGATGCTTCATAGTGTCTTCTCGAAGAAACCTGTAAGTGTAAGCAAGTGCTTCCAGAGTTCTCTGAGCAATCCTAACCATTCATCCAGCCTGGTGACTCAGGGGGTTACAGGAACCCCTGGCTTTCTGCTGGCCCCTCAGAAGCGCAGACGGTCTGGAACTTGCAGTTGGCGTCTGCAGTGGGGGTGGTCTTGTGGGACAGAGTTCTCAACCTATGGGATCTGATGCGAATGCCAGATAGTTCATGCCAGCATTGATTTAAGTTGTGGGACATCAAGCAGGTACCCAGAGTTGGAGAATTGACTATTACTAGGAACCCCCACTGCCATGCCCAGTTTTGAGAAATGAAATGGTTCCAGGTCCCGGTCTCTTGGAGGTGAGTAGAGGAGGTGAGAATGCAACCCACACATGTTGGTTTAGGCTGTTCCCAACCAGCAGGGCTGCCCCTGGCATGGTGCGTGTGCCCCAGCGGCCCTGGCGCTCTCCCCGCTCTGCGGGCCCCCGGGCCACATCTGAGAACACTTTGCCTGTGGAGGAGGGAACATGAGACCTTCCCTGGAGCAGCGTTTCCGCATCGAGTGTGTGCAGCTCAAGCGTGCACAGTTAAGCCATGCACCCCCATCCCAGCAGCAGGAGAACCTCACGTCCCAATAGGAGCACAGGGTTTTGCAGCCTCTTTGATTTTGATTTTGAAACCTCACACCCTGGAGAGATATAAAAGAGCTCAATCTGACTTTCCTGGATTTGCGAGCCAAATGACAAATGTTTACCCCCAGAGTTTCTAACTCCCATAGAACATTCTGTCCTCACTCCCGTTTGCAGAGCGGCGCTTGGAAGCACAACTCCAGTGTGGCTCAAGGTGGAGGGCGGGGCTGTCTTTGCGGCAGTCAAGGCTTCAACCTCCAGGACTTGAGACTCACAATAGATTAATGATCCCGGCTGGTCTGAAGGGAATAGAATTATTAATAATCTATTCCTGATAGAACCGGCTCTGCTTTCCTGCTCCCAGCCCTGTCGCTGGCTGTGGAAGGCTGGGGAGGCCCTATTAATCAGGCTGTTCTGATGTTCTGCCTGCTCAATCGTCACAGGAATGAATGTATTGCTCAGAAAACACGTGAGGGATTGTTACAACACAGACACT